AGTTGTGTATGTATTTCATTGATTATTAATGTCAACAGTCAACACCTAGACTATTGCACTAATCAAATGCATTACATTAGGCCATCTTTTAATACTAATGTGAAACAAATCGTATGATATAACATCTCATTAACTTTCTCTCAATGTATATTATCAATGTATTAATTTTAGGGAGATTTCCCCAAATAGGAGTAAATAGAGTTTGGAATTCCAAAATAGGACTACTATGTTTTTATTTTATTCTCGAAATAGGACTAACATGACAGTATTTATCGCCATCTTGTAGGCATGACTGCCAAATAGTTGCAGTACAATGCATTTAACATGACATTATTTATTATAATTAATGGCAGTATTTTTCAATCTGTTTGGCATCGATATCATAGATCGATTCATGTTAGCCGACCCCAAATTCTTTTGGGATTAAGACTTGGATGTTGTTGTTGTTGTGGCAGTATTTATCATACATGGCAGTAACAACTCTTATTTTGGGAAGAAAACCATAGTAGTCCTATTTTGGAATTCCGAACCTCATTTACTCCTATTCAGGGGCAATTTCCCTTGATTTTATAATTCTACTAATACATTAACTAAAATTATGTTCTCAAAGTTGTTTGTTGGAAAGCTTGAAAGTAAAACTATTGCAACTAAAGGCTTAAACCTGTAATAAAGGCTTAAACACAGAAGGATATAAATATTGGGAGTTGCCCAAAAACACATGTAATAAAGGCTTAAACCCAAACCACTGGGTCGCTTACATTAACCAATAGAATCTTTGCTGAAGCAACCGATCTGCGTCGTCATTTTGATGGATCTTTTGTGTCAAGCACCAATAGACCATCTACTCATGAAATTGTAATTCACTTTTGACTTTGCTATTCGAGTCACTCTTATTGGCTTTGTGTATAAAACATCTGGATGACACCTATTTGTCACGGGTTGCAGTTCTATGACCTTTTAAATATTTTCGAGCTCAATGGTCTTCCATCTGAAGATAATCCGTACCTCTTCAATGGTGACTTTGTTGATAGAGGATCTTTCTCTGTTGAAGTCATATTGACTTTATTTGCTTTCAAATGCATGTGCCCATCAGGTATGTCATATTGTGAATGTTATTGATGTTTAGAAGCTACGTTTTAATGATTCCATTAAACTATTGAATCCCCTTTGATTTACAAAACATTTCAGCTATGTATCTTGCTCGAGGAAATCATGAAAGCAAAAGCATGAACAAAATATATGGGTTTGAGGGAGAGGTCAAGTCCAAACTTAGTGAAAAGTTTGTAGAACTTTTTGCTGAAGTATTCTGCTGCTTACCATTAGCTCATGTGATAAACGAAAAGATCTTTGTTGTTCATGGAGGCCTTTTCAGTGTTGATGGTGTCAAGCTCTCGGATATAAGAGCGATTGACCGGTTTTGTGAGCCACCAGAGGAGGGTGAGATCTCACATTCTCACCACTTTATGCCTTTGGCCATTTTAGATTTCATTAGCTAAATCTTTTGCGATTGTGTTTTGGCTTGTGGCCATTCAATTGCAATACATGACTCGTGCTTGGTTTTGACTTTCAGGTTTGATGTGTGAGCTGTTGTGGAGTGATCCACAACCCCATCCTGGAAGAGGTCCCAGTAAACGAGGTGTAGGTCTTTCGTTTGGTGGGGACGTCACAAAACGATTTTTGCAGGACAATAATCTTGGTATGTCTCTTATTCCTCAGATAATGTTTTAGTTTCACATATTCAGAAACTGAGGTATCTGAGTGTGCTAATTTCAGACTTAGTTGTGCGATCCCATGAAGTCAAAGACAAGGGCTATGAAATTGATCATGATGGGAAACTCATCACAGTTTTCTCTGCTCCAAATTACTGTGATCAGGTGATTATTTGTTTTAGGGGGTTTATATTCATTATGGGATAGATTTCCTAAAATTTGAGTGGAACACATGCTGCAGATGGGTAATGAAGGAGCTTTTATTCGTTTTGAATCCCCCACTCTTAAGCCAAATATTGTTACATTTTCAGCAGTGGTGAGTAGTCTTTTTTTACTAATCCACTATTGAAAATCATCCGCTTCTCTTGTAAATTTTCCTGCTCATTTAATTACTGCATCTGAAATAACAGCCGCACCCTGAGGTCATGCCAATGGCCTATGCCAACAACTTCCTCAGAATGTTCTCATAGTAGGAGGCTCTGGCCAGATGAAAGTATATGGTCAATGTCAATACAATAGAGGAAAGGAGATCAAAGGAAGAATGCGCTTTTGTAGATCTGGTCATCAATAGAATATTTGTGGATTTGTTGGAACTGCCAGTAAGAATACTTGATTAGCTTTGTTTGTTTAGGTGGTTGAGTGAAGGCTTGTATAATCATGTCTGTTGGATGTGTAAGATTGTTGTTGTCTTCCTATTTCATTTTATGAACTCAAATTAATTATCAAAATGATATTTTTGACTAATCACACTACTAATTATCAAAATGATTAACTTGGATAATCAATATTATGCCCAGAGGCTTCAAAATCTTGTTCAGGGGGGTTCATGTCCAACTACTCCTCTTCCAACGTTCTCTGACCCCTGTCCTTTTGTTTCGATGTCTCACTTATTTTCAGTCTGTCCATGAAGACCCACACCTATCACTTCACTCTGCCTGCCTGCCTACTTTATTTTAGTGGCAATTATGATTTCTCGTTTCCACCCAAACATTTTGCTGATCACATGTATTGCACAACAACCTGAGAATCTCGTGCCCTTGGGTATGTATGCAAAAACAAAAATGTGTGTTGTTTCCCTTTATATCCATCATGTGAAAGCTTTTTTTTTGTTTCTATGAGTTCTGTTCACAAACAAAATGTCTGTCTCTACAAATTTCTACAGACAAAATAAGACATATTTTGTCTGTGAACGGAATTCACAGATAAAAAAAACTTTTACAAACATGGTGAGTATTAAAGTGGATATAAGGGTGGGCAAAAATTGAAAAAAGTGTTTTTTTCAGTTTTTTGTTACAAAAGTTGAAATGAATGTTTTTAAGTGAAAATTTCATCTTAAATTAAACAACTAAAAGTTAGAATCTACTTTTCACTTATTCAATTACACAAGAAACATATATTCTATTAAATCCTACCAAACTTTACTATTACGCATTTATTCAAAATCAATTTTTTAAAAATAAATGTTTCAGAATCGAATTCATTTTATTTTTTAAGTAGAAGCATTTGCAAACGGTTAGCTTAGAGCTTTGGTGGAAGACTTAAATCTTAACTTTTTTTCATCTATAATACTCCTTCCGTCCCGTTAGAAGGTTCCCGTTGACGGTTTATGATGCTTGACTGACGATAAAGCAATTTAATCCATGTTCACACTCTGATTATTTTTAGTAAATAAAATTTACATATTCAGAAACTACATTAAAGCCGCTACAAAGCCTGATAAAAAAAAATTGATTTATGAAGTAAAAGATTAAAAATGATTTAATTTAACCATGTGAATAGTGGACGAGAACCTTCTAATGGGACGGAGGTAGTAACATTTAGCTAAATAGAGATGTCCATGTTTCTGAACGCCATACTGAAGCAATACACATGAATGTTGGAGAAAGACCAATATTATCCTTATCTTGAAGTATCAATTCTATTTTTCAATAAAAATAGAAATGCATTACTCTCTCCATCTATCTTCGAAAGAGATTTAAAGGGTGTTTGTGATATGTGAACCCAGATATATAGATGGCATTCAATGCGTGGGGAAACACCGCACGCGTCAAAGGCGCCATCCTAATGTGAATTCTGACTTGCTTAATTTTGTAGGACACCATATTTTAATCTTCGTGTCATAAATGATTCAGGAATTCGTAGTTTTATTTTCAATGTTTTCACATTATATTCACGGAATCAACTAAACTCTTTTTAATGTCTAATTTATGGGGTATAATAATGTTTTGTTCGTATTCCAATTTAGTAGAACTTCTAACTTAGTTTCAAAGATATATTATCAAGAAAGAGTTAATTTTAATTTATATGTTACATTTGTCTGCTTGAATATTGTAACCTTTAAATTAAGTAAGATATTATAAAATTGAGAATTGTGCAATTGAAATTTATGCATAAATTTCAAGGTTTACTCTATAAGACAATATAATAAAACTACATAGAAGTGTGAAGGTGGAAGTTTGGAGGGACAATCAAGGATGGGTCCTGTGGAGGTCACAACTTTTGCGTGATGGGACGTTGGATCTTTGGTGCGCACGATTATAAGTTCTACCGCCGTTGAGATTGATTGAATCACCACGATTTATGCATCTCATATGCTCTATCAGATCCGAGTTTGAAAACCTTGAAATGGGGGATTCAATTTTTTGAAAGAACAACACTACATAAATTGGGGTTTCAAAAAGCCTTTATCTCAAAACTACATTTTTTTGTGTTACCTTAATAACCTTTGTATACCTTTTCAAGAAAAAAATGGGGTTTTGGGGTTGGTGGGTGTAGTCCAATGGATGACCATCCACCCCCAAGTCTTTCTTTTGTGGGAGGTCTTAGGTTCAGTTCCCACCAAGGGGAGATGAGGGAGGTCTTGCTCCCAATGATCCTTCCTACTTTCACGGAGTTGCTCAACGGCTGAGAATGGAGATGATGGTAATGAAGGTAGCGGGTTCGTGTGGTGGGAGGAGTAGCCTGAAAGGTGATGTAAGTCCTGTTGGATTCATCCTTTGAAGCCAGTACTGACGAAGTTGACTGTGATCAGATCCGAACTTAACTATCTATGGACTTTGAAGGATAATTCATAGACTTCAGGATTATGGGAGCGTAAGCCTCCGACACCTATATTATCAACAAAAAAAGAAAAAAATGGGGTTTTAATAGGTACGGAGTATAATAATAGTAAAAAGTCAAATCAGTAATGAATAAGGGAAAAGATAGCCAGTAGAAATAGAATTACGGTGTGATAAAACCTCATTATCTGGTGGAGAGACACAGTAGAAAAACATGAGCAGAAACATGCAAACAGTTCTCCCCTGTCATTTTATAATTTCAAAGCCCCGCAGCAGAACAGATTTCAAGAAAACTAAAAAACACACACAATGTTCTGCTACCACTGTTCACTCCCACATTCTCTTCTCTTGCTGCTTCTACTCCTCCCACTTTTCTCTGTCACTTCCTCCTCCTCCACCGCCACTCCCACCGCCAATCAACACTATGGGAGAGAAGGAAAGAGGAATCTCCCCCCACGACAGCAGTCAAACCTGATGGATCCCCAGGAGCTGCAGCTTCTGTTCAAGATCATGGACACCCTCTCCTCTGATTCCAACTGGAGAATCTCCCACCCCAACCCCTGCTCCCCCTCCCCCGGTTCTTCATCTTCTTCTTGGGTCGGGATTGAGTGCAAAACCGGTCATGTCACCAGGCTGGACTTTGGGACCCACCCCAACCCGACCTGCAAGCCCACAGCCACTTTCCCTCCAGAGATCTTTCACCTCCCTCACCTCCAGTCTGTTTTCTTCATTCACTGCTTCACCCACACCAGAACAAGCATCCTCCTTTCAGTTGAAGGGCCGAATAGTAGTTTCAGTATTTCTCCATTGCAGCAGTTCAGTCTCAGATCAAACCCTGCACTCATTGGCTCAATCCCACCTCAGCTCTCTTCACTGAAATCACTTCAGATCCTCACACTCTCTCAAAACAGTCTGACTGGACAAATACCTCCAGAAATCTTCACCTTGACCTCTCTCCTGCACCTTGATTTCAGCTATAACATGCTGACTGGACATATTCCTACCCAGGTGGGAAACCTAAGAAGTCTTGCTGGTCTTGATTTGAGCTATAATAAAATCTGGGGTTCAATCCCTGGCCCCATTGGGAATCTGGGTATGCTTCAAAAACTGGACTTGAGCTCAAATGCATTGACTGGGAAAATTCCAGAGAGCATTCAAGAACTACACTCTCTGGTTTTCTTGGCTTTGAGCAATAACAGACTATCAGGCAAGTTCCCTACAGGGCTGTCAAGATTGCAGAACTTGCAATACTTCATCATGGATGATAATCCAATGTCCATAGCACTTCCAGTTGAGTTTGGTCAACTTGAGAGACTTCAAGAATTGAGACTGGCCAATTCTGGATATTCTGGGCAAATACCCACAACCTATTCCCTTCTGAACAACTTAACCACACTATCTTTGCAGAACAACCTGTTAACCGGAGAGATTCCGGCGGAATTAGCCAGTCTGTCACATATATATCACTTGAATCTGAGCAGAAACATGCTGGGCGGTGTTGTTCCTTTTAACTCAAGTTTTCTTAGGAGGTTAGGGAGGAATTTAGACCTTAGTGGGAATGCAGGGTTGTGCTTCGGAGCATCCGAGGCTCGTGATGGAATCTTCTCAGGAATTGGTATTTGTGGGAGGAACCAAAGTGGGTACAACATAAAAAAGAAATCTGGAGATTCATCCGAGTTGAGCAAATCATTCTTATCCATTGCTGGTTTCGGTATTGTAGGATTGCTTCATTTCTTTTTCTCTCTTTAGTTTTTTCCTCCTGCGGCGCTTTAGTACTGCTAGGCTTTCCATTATTGATGATGATTCTTTCACAATATAATACGAAGTATCACTATTATAATTCTTCTTCTTAGTGTTAATATTACACTATATTTTCTGGATTTGTAATTTTTTGGAGTTTTTTTTACCTTCGGGGATAGCAAAGTGTTAAAAAACAATATCCTTAAACTAGAAAGCTATCTAAAATTGTGTGAAGCATAATACGAGTAGCATTTTCCTCAATCCTCGTAGCTCTGTTTGGGCGAGTTTAGTGTCTGGAATGTCAACCTTATCGTTTTAGGCAAACAGTTCGTCACAAGTGCGGCGTAATTGTCATCAGGCTTTTCCAGTCTGTGTGCCTATGGATATTCATTTTAAGTTTGTTGAAATTTTTGATAACTTCAAGGAGAAAGATGTGATACATAAAATGGATAAAATGTGACAAACTATTGTCATCAGGTTTTTCCAGTCCGACTATTTATTTTAATTAGTTTTGTTTTGATATACTCCCTCCGGTTCTTATTAAAGTTCTCACTTTCCTTTTTGGGATGTCCCTTATTTAAGTTCACACTTCCATTTTAGGAAATAAAACAGTGCCAAACAGTGTCAAACAGTGTCCAAACAGGCCAAACAATGCCAAACAGTGCCAAACAGTAAAGTCAAATTCATTTTCTTAATATGTGTGAAGTCAAACTAAGAACTTAAATAAGAACCGGAGGAAGTACTATCGTACAAACTATAACTAACTAATGCTAAAAATTATACCAGGTATACTTTTTCAGATCCTACTCAATAAAATGATTTTTTATTTTTGAAAAAATTTTTAAAAATTGTTCTTTCAAACATACAACTAGAAACTTTTAGAGACTTTCTTAATAGTGCAAAAAGAAGGTATGTACTTATGCTTGCCAAACATGAATAGTAAATTTAATTAAGGAAAATATTATAAAAATGAAGTGTAAATTTAAATTTAAATTTAAAGACATTATATGACTGATAATTTTAATTTGGAGAGAGAAGTACATAATAACAATAGTACTAGATTGTCACCATTGTTTAGCAATAATGTGTAATACCCAAGATTAATTTAAAAGGATTAATAGTACTACTCATATCAACAGATGTGCATCTCTTTTTAAGGGAGCTCATCCGAGTTAAGCGTGCTTGCACGAAAGTAGTCTTGGGATGAGTGACCTCCTGTGAAGTTTCTCAGAGCGCGCCCGAGTGAGGACAAAGTACGCTGTAAAGGCTCGAGGTGGTTTGTGAGGACAGTACTAGAGGTCAGAAGTAACTACCTCGGGACCTGCGAGGCCAGGCTGTTACACAGTGTTTGATGCACCCACCCATATACCCACTTTATATCCACCATGTTTGTGAAAGTTTTTTTTTGTCTGTGAATCCGATTCAGAGACAAAATATGTGTTAATATTGTCTGTGCAAATTTTGCACAAACAAAATATTGTCAGTGAACAGAACTCACAAACAAAAAAAGATCATCACAAACATGGGTGAGTATAACCGTGGGTATAAGAGTGCGTACAAACATCATTTTTGTTGTTTTAGCTATCTGTTCCTTCAAACTTTATCGAAAAAGTTTGAATATGATTTTAATTAGTACTATGGAGTACTACCTCCGTCCCATTAGAAGGTTCTCGTCCACTATTTTCATGGTCAACTTAAATCATTTTTAATCCTTTACTTTATAAATCAAATTTTTATCAAATTTACATTTTTTATCAGGCTTTGTAGCAGTTTTAATGTAGTTTCTGAATATGTTAGTTTTATTTACTTAAAATAATCAGAGTGTGAGCAGGGATTAAGTTGCTTTATCGTCAGTCAAGCATCGTAAACCGTTCACGGGAACCTTCTAGCGGGACGGAGGGAGTATATAATATTATGAAACTTGTATATTTTATACTGATGAAAATATTTTTTACAAAAAATATTTCGATATGTTTTATATTTTACAAATTAAAACCTATAAATATATACTTATAATTTATCAAAGTTGAACATGATTGATCAAAACATTAAAGATGAGAAATCTTGGATTAAATTCTCACTGAGGGGAGAAGAGAGGTCTGTCTCCCCATAATTCTATCTACCTTCACGAAGTAGCTCAATCTTCGAGAAGAGAGAGAGAGAGTGACAACGAAGGTATCAGGTTCGTGTGGTAGGAGGAGCAGTCTAGTAAATGTAGTGCTTACGAGGCTGATTGTGACCAGATCCAAATACACCTATCTAGGGTTTGGAAGGGTAGTTCATAAACTATAGGATTATGAAAGCGTAAATCCACAGAATTATTTAGAAAAAATAAAATTTTAAGGGATGGATAGAAATATAAGATACGGAGTATATGCTAATAATTGCAAAATCATAGGCCCAAATATACTTTTTAATGTAATTCGTATTTTTCTTTATGAAACACATTACTTAAAAATACTTCCAACTTTCCTTTTTGGGTGTCGTAAAATAAACTTTTACTTTCCTTTTTTTGTAATGAATATGTGGTTCACATCAATTCTTAAACATTTCTCTCTCTTATGCACAACTTTCCATCACACAATACTCATTATCTTAATCTTCGTGTCATTTGTACTATAGAACAAAAGTTAGGGGCCGAGGGAGTAGTATTCTTTTAATAATTTCCAACCAAAGCAAGTCATATCCTTTCAATAATTTAAATAAATTTAATAGGTATTTTCAAAAATATTACTGAAATTAAATTTATACAATATTCATTTATAGAATAAAATTAGTGTATGATTTTAAAGAAAATGAAGAAAAGGAGACTATGCTATTAATTTTGTACAAATTTTTACACCAAATTAAAACCAACCATTATTCTTGTACACAAAATTTGTACATATTTCACATATATTATACGCAATTATCTGTGTGACTGAATGAGTTGTCCGTGTATATATGCAACTAAAACATGTACAAATTATCTGTATCACACTTACTTTGGATGTGTAATGTGCGCGAAATGTGTGTAAATAATTTTTTCAATTAAAGTTGTCATAAGTGTGAAACAACTGCACAATTAATGCTACAAAAATAACTACTCCGTACTCCATAATGAACACTACTTGTAGCAATCATTGATGTCACCATTCCCTAGATATGTACCGAGACGTGGTTTACTTTATTCCTGAGTTTTTTTGACAGGACTTTAATCCTGACTATTAAATTAATGACTCGCTAAATAGACAACTTTAGTTCGTGTACACCAAATGTAACTGTTTGCGGATAGACAACTTGTCTGCTGGAGACAGACATATGTACACAAAAGGTGGTGTACACAAAACATTTTTCCTAAATAGAAGCGTTTTTTATCCCAGTGAAATTATAGTAGGTGAGTATTACACGGTATTTTTCATGTCACGGCTAGATATGGACCACAAGTCCACACCATGGTGGATTGAAATTCCATGCGGTCAGAAATAAATGGTTGTATTATTTTTAGTAGTCACACAATGATTCTTTTGTTTCTTTTTAAGGAAAAAATGATTTATTTCTATTTTCAATCCAAATAGTAAATGCACATCCAATTTATAATCATATTTTATTGTTCCAAAGTTTTTAATAATCATATTACAAGTGTGCTTGTAATATGATCATATTTACAAGTGTGCTTGTAGGTATAGACGGCCAGACGGGTATAGACGCACGCAAGCTAAGTAGCTAACTAGCTATCTTTACAATGGAGAGGGGTACAAAGACACATAGTACAGGGGTTCTGGGGGCAAGATGGGCGCCCGTCCTAGGCCCGAAAAAAATAGAAGAAAAAATAGGTCCAATAATTTCTTTATATATAGTGTGAGTATGCTTTTTCTTATTGTTAAGTTCAATTAATTAGGCCTAATGATTAATTTTGTTGACAATTTGAAAATTTAAAACATAAATAAAGAGTCTTAAAGAGAGATAAGTTTAAAACAGAATATATACATTAATTTTTAGCAGGATCGGTTGTAGTTTTTAAAAGCAATAATAAAATTGTTACTGCATAAATAAAACACACGTCTCTCTAGTCCTCACATCTTTTTACCTTTTAGGGTTTAATATTCAATTTAGTTATAACATAACAAATTTATATAATTATTTTAAAGTTTGTTTCTCTCAAATTTCACCCCAATTATTCATTTGTTTTCAAATTTCAATAAGCTATATCGGAGTTCCTAATAGTAGTTATAGAGAACGTCAAATTTGCAATCTTTTTGCGTGAGTTTGTTGGCAACCAAACATTTTGTCTCTTTGAAAACTCTCATTCGAGACTTCAAACTTTTGACTCTCATCAGCGGTCAATAAATCATTCTGAACTTTATTAGTGATTTAGTGGTAATATTTCTTTTCGTTTATCCTTTCAAAAAAAAGTTTACTGTTGTTATATGTGGCAATTTCATTGTTTGTCGTATTTATTAGTGGAAAGAAGGTTGCCTATGAAATAGTTATTAATGATTTGCTTCGCATTGGTCTACGAGAAACATTTTTAAGTAATGTTTTTTTTATTCGATACTCGTGTTGTTACTTTTACCCAAATATGTAACTTTAAATAATACTCCTATGAATGGATTTAGAAGTAATTTTAGTCCTATAGTAATAAAGTGAAACTCGTCTTTATTTTATGAACTTCATTGTCCAAATATGGTTTACTGTTTGTCATGGATATAGGTCCAAAATAGCGTACCGTCCATAGGCCCAGAAATAAACAGGACCGGCCCTGACAAAGTATTACCTATAATAAAACAATAAAAAATGTTGTTTGTATTCATTTTTATACCAACTTTTACGAGCCCGTTTGGTAATAGTCAAATCGGCTGTATTGGCTGATTCCGTTGAAATTTATCAAGTTCTGGTTGATGTGACTGTATTGGCTGATTCTGCTGATTTGTGAAAAAATAGTAATTTGAAATACATTTTATTAATAAAATAAAGAAAAAATTAAATGAAAAATAGTTAAAATAGCCTTCTATAGTAATTTCAGCCAATATACCAAAAAAGTAACTCCAACCTTATTTTTTCTTACACACAATTCAACCCATAAAACCAAAAATTACGTGTTTGGTGAAAAAGTTGGCTTATTAGCCTGAAAAGCAAAAAATCATGGCCAACAAACGGGCACTATATCCATCATGTTTGTACAAAGCTTTTTTTTCCTTTAAAGTTTGAATTAATATTTAATTACAAGA